AAAAATGGGAGCTGCAAATCTTAAGGTTAACATTAATTCAGAGCCCAAGAGTTACCTATCTGGAAAGATTGTGTCTAAGAGGTAATGTTGTGGAGTAGCTACGCAAACACTCACAATGCAGAAGAGAAGGTTCAGGGAAACATTTGGTCATGCATTTCATGTCCTTATGGACAGAGTATTTTTTTTAAGCGTGGTCAAAAAATCTAGAACAAGGACACAGGCACAAGCTCAGAAGAGGAAAGATGATATAACATTTGGTGTCACACAGAGTGGTGAGCGTGTGGAACCAGTGAGGGCAGATTATGTCAGATAAGTCCCAAGGAAACCACTACTCTTTGGTGAAGAAATTGATTGAGGGATAGAAAAGATGGAACAGTGTAGGTTCATACTTTAAAACCGGGTAACTGAACTGTACTGGTCTATTGCAATCCCAGGTTTTGCAGGAAAAGCATGAACACTACTGTAGGTTGAAACCCTGCAAATGGTCCTGGGAGGAATATATTGGTCAATGAAGTGAACACACAACATGTATAAGGCAAGCTTTTATTGTTTTAAGCACAGAGATCCCAATGAGCCGGTAAGTAACACTTTGATGCTTTCTTTCAACAGAGGAAAAGTTCAACCCTGCCATTCCGAGAGAGGACTGAAACTCAGAAACAATCTTAGACAAGAAGAAAGATGGAGACACATGCGGAACAAGATATGGCGGGTCAACCATAGAAAATGCCACTCAAATATCATCTGACAGGTTTCTTAAAGGAACAGTGGACTTGAAAAAAAGGGCACTGCAGGAAAAATTCTGAACCCTAGAAAGAATAATAATAATTGCAGTTGATATAGCACCTTATCACATAATCGAGACATCTCAAAGTACTCCACAGGATATACTGGAAGGTGTATTTCTGTGGATGAAAGGCGGCAACCAGGTGCACAACTTCTTCATTAAAAACATGAATACCTTTCTAAGTAAAACTGGCACTTTGTTAATGGAAATGGTGCCTCACTACATGAACCGTGTTCTCTGTGGGAACCCCATGGATGTCAGACTAACTTGCAAGACCGTGACTCTGACCTGAGATCAGCTGGAAGTTGAGGTCTGTCCCAGTTGGTGTGATACCCCTGGTGTTCCCTACAAGAGATACACAAAGCACCCTGGAAAACCGAGGAAAACCTTTTCAACCCCAAAATTCCAGAAAAGTTTTAAAAGTGGGGTAATGTCAAATTTGCTTTGCACATAAGAATCGTAGAAATTTACAGTGCAGAAGGAGGCCATTTAGCCCATGTATGTCTGCACCGACTCTGAAAGCGAGCTGTTCATTTAACCCCACTGCCCTGCTCTATCCCCATAACACTTCAAGTGTCCATCTTTCATATACTTGTCTGCTTTCCTCTCGAAGCCCACAATGGACTCTCCCTCTACCACCTTACTTGGTGGGGTGTTCCACATCCCAACAACTCTAGGTGCGAAAACATTTCTCTTAAACTCTCCTTTCTCTGTAGAGCCACACAAATCATAAAAATAGGACAAATGACAAAGTATCAACACTTTTCCAAACCATATGATAAAGGACATATGGAAATGGTGTGGGGGGGAACTCGGGTGAAAACAATATTGATTAACAGCTTGATTAACGTATAGTGGATCAAGACTGGCTAACCAGCATTTCTGACAGTAACTCACATCCATCTCTCATGGGAGACTCCACTAAAGCATTGAAATTAACTGCAAAGAGGAAGGCCATCCGTCCCACCATGTCTGTCTGTGGTGGCTCTTTATAAGAGCAATCTATTCAGTCCCATTTACCTGCCTTTCTTCCCTGCAAATTGCTCCATGCATAGAGTTTCATATCCTAACAATCCCCTAAAATAATCCTCACTATTCCATCCCCACCCCCCACCTTCCCCTTTGCTACCTAAATAACTTAAATTGAAGCTCTCTGATCACCAACTCTCCAACCAGTGGAATCCCACAAATGCATTGAAACAGGGATCCCATAAATCCACTGTAAGGTACTTCCAGTTAATAGCACTACTTGCCCTTTAACCACTTTCAGTTGCTATTAGTGAATCCCATTGCAACCTGCCACTTTCTCAACACAAATACACACATATGTTCAAAAGATTTGATTTGGCTCAGGAAAGATTGAAATAAATTGGGAATTCTCACTAATATTCAAACACAATAGTGTGAAATATATGAAATATGATAAATTGTTCTAAAGTACTCAGGAAAGGATCTTTCAAATATTTGGTTGAAATAGGTTTCACAGGAATGCAATTTTTATATGAGATCGCAGTCTCAATTTTCACTATAAAAACTGATTATATAAACAGGTGCTTTTGCCTGCCGTGCATAGAAAATTGAATTTCTTATATATGCTATTTCATCCTGTACAACAAAATATATCTTTGATACCTTTGAGCCTATTAGAAACCTTTCAGCCATTTAACAAACTAAAGAATGTTTCAATTCTGCCTGAAGCTACAAAAAATCCCAAAACGCTATCATAAATTTCTCCCTAGGTGGCTTTCTCTCCTTCAGCAAATCTATAAACTCATATGCTTGAATATTTTGTCTCATCAGCTCTGGTTTAAACACTCTTTTGTTGCTGCAGTTCAGTTTGGCTGACACGCGCACAACTGGGGTTCTATAGGAACAAACCACAGATTCAGTATTTCCGGAATAATCGTGCACATTGGAGAACGTGTGGACAAAGTAACAATTTGCACATGAATAGCTGCTATCGCTTGAGATAACTTCCCAAAGTGCTGGTAACACAAAGTGAAGCCTAAACTGGGAGGGAGATGGGGAGAGGGGTTTTGAAGTTAGTACTTTCATTGAACACTGGACGATCAGAGAATTCTATTCTAAATAGAACACCACCACCACCAACAACAATAAATTTACCTTCCAAGTTGGGAGGATTTCCCAAGGCTGGACAGTCAAGGGTTTGTACCCGAGCTGGGGTTTGGATTTGAGAGGGGTGGGGTAAGGGTGTGGGGGCAGGGGCTGGGGTAGAGGTTGGGGAAGATAACTGAAGGCAAGGTCACAGAGGAAGGTCTTTAAATAGGCATTGAAGGAGGCGAGAGTAGATGGAAAGTAAAGGGTCTCCAGGTTGGATTTCCAAAGTGGGGGCAAATGGGCTAAAAGCTCGAGGACCTATGCTAGAATGGGCAAGGCATGGGACGTGAAGCAGGGCAGTGCCTTGCCAAGTGGAGGGAACAGCTGGATTGGTAGAATTTAAAAAGCTCATAGAGGGACTGTGGGGCAAGATCATGGAGGGATTTATGGTGGAATAGAACTCCAGCATCAGCAGTTCAGACAAACCTTCCTTACTGATTAAAAAAAACTCCAGTATGAGCTAGAATAGCCATAGGGAAGAAAGTACAGAATAACCATACACACTTACTGAGGGTCACACAAAAATATGACCCAGTTAGTTTTCTAAGTTTTCACTTTCAAAGTCATAGTACATTACTGAATCACAGAAGTATAAGGATAAACTAAATCTAGCATCGGCGATCCAGGTCTCTAGCTACCCAAAGAGCAATGTTATGTGTGTGCCACGAAGATCAGTCAGACGCTGTTCACAATCAGACATAAACGATAAGCGATCAAAAGGTTAAGTGTCAACCGAAGACTCCCAGAATACAAAATTACAATTCAAGATAACATTTGGATAGTGCCTTTCACATTGGGAGGATGTCCCAAGGCACTGGATAAGAATGTAACAAAACCTAAACATGCTATTCCAATGTACAATGGAAGCCGTTTCAGTCGGACACATCAAATGACCTGGTTTCCGGCGTTAACTGGTGTCCGGTTAATGCGGCTTTCTTTGTACCTTAAAATTTGCTCTTTGAACTTCATTGATTGTCATTAAAGACGCATGAATTGCAATATTTAGGCTTTTAGTTCATTTTTACTTCTATTTGTGCATACAATTGCACTTGAAAGCCCCTTGTCGCGCTTCAAACCGAGTCAGTGGGCCAACACAATTTGAAGTGCAATACACACCTAGAGAGCTGATCATCCAGTCATGCAACCAGTGACACCATGATTTGGAAGCCACTCTAGATCATACTGCATGTAATAAAGCAGGTTGCAATTGTATGGACCTCCACACACCTCCAACCTCTGCCTTGTAATTGACTTCTACATCAACTTTGCCCAACGCTTTATCAAAATATATTATTACACTGCTTTTAACATGCATTTTATTTCAGACATCCAATATTAGGAGTTAACAATATGGAAGTTGACAAAAAATGGTCCACACACCAGAAAAGGTCCGCTTGGAGGAAGTTCTGTTGTCCGTGTGCAAGGTCACATAAGTTAAAGGTAAAAAAAGACTTTGGCAACACAGTAAACTCCAAATGTAAAGCCCAACGTTAAAATCAAACAGGTTGGAAATGGTGAATCAATGACTGAGGCATCACACAGTCCACCAATAGTGTCCTCAGTCATTTCACATCACCAGAGCAACATCAGTAATGTATTTCTATCCATTCATCCAAAATCTAATGTGTGTCCGAACATACGTGGCACAACTAAACTCCAGGATCACAGCAAACCTCCAGTATCAAATTATTCCCCTAATATCATCTTAAGGTAAACAAGGATAATATACATTGAATCAAGCTGTCTGGTTTGTCCATTCCAGTTTGAGTTAGTCGCTATCAATAATCAAGGACATTGCTCTCTATCTATGCACAAACACTGCCGAAAAACAACCAAGCATCAGCTGCACTCCTTCACCATGTGTTCAAATCTAATTTGCAGCATTTTAACTAAACTTAAGCAGAGCCATTCTCTCTGTCTCAAAGAGGCTGCAATTCGTTCAACTTAACCCATTTCAAAACAGTCTAATTTCTGAAGATTAACTCCTACATTTTCAAAACCTTAAATCTGTGAATGATTGACAAAAGAGCGGAAAATGTTCAATCGATAGTACTGACATTCTTGTATGAGCACAAAGGGAAAGGGATATTTTACTTGCCATATTGTTGGTGCTTCAGTTCCGCTGATCTCCAACATATCATATCCGTCTTCAAGCTGAAAATCGGTGAAGATAAGCGCGATGGTGTCGCCAGGCTCGGCCAGGATAGTCCACGTGCAGTCAGCATTGTTGTCATACTCTGACGGAAAGTGGGGGCTGGAAATCGCTCCGCTGGTCCCTTGCAGAGTTCCACCGCAACCTCCTTCAGCTACGAAAACATACCAAAAATACTTTACGTTATAATAATAATTATCCTTGCATTTGATATAATACCTTATCATGTCGTTGAGGCATCTCAAAGCACTTCACAGAATGTATTGCAAAATGGATTGACTGTATTTTGTGGGCGAAACGTGGCAGACAATTGTGTCCGCTCTCAGAGACCATTGAAATTAATGTGTTCTGTCACTATTGGAATCATTTATTATTTTGTTGTTGTTCTGAGTTCGGGGCCGAGGACAATCTGCTGTGATAGCATAAAGGGACCGATGAACTGGGCCGATTTGCAATGGAAGGTTGAAGGGAGACCCAAAAGAGGTCTTGGATTTTGATTTTTGGATTTTGATAGACAGTCAGGAGAAATTCTTTCCACTGGTCGGTGAGTCAGTAGGTTGGTGACTTGTGGGAAACATAATAAGGTTAGGGGAAAGATTTGGAGGAATGTTTTTTTACATAGGGTTGTTTAGGATGTGGAATGCTGGTGCAGGATTCATATTAGCTTTCAAGAAGAAACTAGATAGTTATCTAAAAATTAGGGTTTTTTGCAGTTAAAAGGCAGGAAAACAGATTGATGTTTCAATGAGCCGGCACAGACATAACAACAACAAGATTACATTTGTACAGCGCCTTTCACATCAGGAATGGGAAAACAGCTTTCTTCTGCGCTATAAATTACTATGGGAGCTTTACCCTGAACCTAACACAAGTGGGATTGAATCTGTGAATGAGTGTCAAAAAGAAGGGGAAATGTTTCAATCTACATCACCGACAACAATAATAATAATAATAATCCTTGCATTTGATATAGCGCGTTTCACGTCGGAAGGATGTCCCAAAGCGCTTCACAGAACACACTGTAAAATGAATTGACTGTATATTTGTGGGCGAACGCGGCAGCCAATTGCACACAGCAATGTCCCACAAACAGTCGTAAATTGAAAATGACCAATTTATTATTGTTTTTGGTTTTGGAGGGATTATCCTTCCCTCCCTTCGTATCATGATCACAAACATACACCAACAATATGTGCAAAGAAAAGATTACTTCAGATTGATGTAGACGGAAGGGAACACCTGAGAGAAGAGAAATAAAATGAACAGGACCAACAGTATTGTGACCAAGTTGGGAGGCCAATCTAAAGTTAATAAAGAATATTAATTTAGTTACAAAGACACAAGGAAATAAAATACATTGCTGAAACAAAAAATAATATAACAATCTTAAATGTGACAATTTAAAAACATTTAGGTATTAGTTTTTGGATAACTGATCCAGGTAAAACATTAGGTAAATATATACAGGACTTTGACTGAGAGATTGAATTTCACTTTTAAAGGCAAATTGTTAAACCGAGGTCCTGTCTCCCTGTTCAGGTGGATGTTAAAAAGAGATTTAACGGGGAATCAATTCTCTTGGCCAACAATTCTCCAGATTAAAAAAATTAGTCATTCGCTTCATGGTTGTTTGTGGGACATTGTTGTGTGCCAATTGGCTGCTGTGTATGCCGACAAATACACAGTCACTACACTTGACAGAAAACCTGTGACGCACTTTCTGAGATGTTACAATCTGATAAGGTAATATTATATCTAATGTGTGCTGTCCATTTTATGTAATATACTCGGGCTCCACTCATCTGTGATGCACAAAAAATTGCTGAACTGAGAAACAACAACAAAATTACATTTGTATAGCGCCTTTCACCTCGGGAGGACGTCCCTCGGTGCTGGATAGTCAGTGTTTCAGACCCGAGCTGGGTACGGGATTGGGGAGGTGGAGGGCAGGGGGGGAAGCAGAGTGATCGAAAGCACGGTCGAAGAGGAGGGTCTTGAGATGGGTCTTGAAGGAGGCAAGGGAGGGGGCGAGGCAGAGGGACTGTGGGGATGTAGTTCCAGATGGTGGGGCAGAGTGACATAAGGCCAGTGCCGGAGCCCAATGAATGGAGGGAGCAGGCAGGATGGTTAAGAGGTAGGGGAGAGCAAGGCCAATGATGGGCTTTGAAGGTGAGGACCAGGATCTTGAACTGTATCCTCTGTATAATGGGAAGCCAATCGAGTCAGGCAAGGATGATGGTGATAGGGCCATGGAGCCTGGTGCGGGAGAAGACAGCAGAATTCTGGATGTTCTGTGGGGGGAAGAGTTGGGGAGGCCGACAAGCAAGGAATTTGCATAGAAGGCCTTGATGTTATGAATGTGTGTATGAGGGTTTCGGACTGGCTTAGTGAGGTGGGGTGTGCATCCATGGATGGTGATGCTGTCAGTGCCTGAGGTGAGGAGGAGCTGATGGGAGCCAATCAGGAGAGCCTCGGTCTTGTTGACATTCAACTGAAGAAAATTAGCTCTCATCCAAGACTTGATGTCTGACAGACATTCTGTCAGGACAGCAGTGGTCATGGAGTCAAGGGTGGAGGCAGAGAGGTACAGTTGAGTGTCATCCGCATACATGTGGAAGTTGACCCCATGTCTGCAGATGATGTCACCAAGAGGGAGCATATAGCTATTGAGGAGGAGGGGATCAAGGACAGAGCCTTGAGAAACGCCGCACAAGATGGTGTGAGGGCTAGCGGAGAAACCGTTTGTGGAGATGAAGTGGAGGCGGTGTGAGAGATATGATCTGAATTAGTCAAGGACAGAGCTGTGAAGGTTGAGGTGAGAGGCGAGGCAGTGGATGAATATAGAGTGGTCAACCATATCGAAGGCAGCAGAGAGATCAAAGAGGACAAGGAGGCAGAGGGAGCCCTGGTTGTAGATGGACAGAATGTCATTTCTCACTTTGACCAGGTCGGATTATGTGCTGTGGGCGGCACTGAAACACGATTGGAAGCGTTCGAGGAGGGAGTGGCGGGAGAGGAAGCAGCGAAGTAATGACTTGCTCCAGGAACTTAGAGAGGAAAGGGAGATTGGAGATGGGGCAGTAGTTTGAGAGCAGGAATGGGTCCAGCGAGGGTTTTTTAAGGATAAGAGTGATGCCGGCCATTTTTAAAGAAACTCATATGATCTGGCATTTCTTAGCAATGGTACCTTAAACTACCTCTACAGTAGCATGACTGAATACAACAGACAAAGGACAAATTTATTCAGTGTGGATCAATTCTTTCTTTCATATTCCAATTTCCTCTGCCCACAGCTTGCCATTTCAGGAAACATGTGTTATTATAATACTTTTTCTTGTTTAAGCTGAATGTGGAGGATGAAGTGCACCAGCAATGCAATGCAATTTACATCTATAATAATAAGACTTGCATTTGATTATAGCAAAAGGGATAGGAACGCTGCATCCAATTTAATCACAGCAAAGTTCTACAAAGAACCATGAAATGAATGATCAATTTTATTTGGGGGATTGTTAGCCAGGACCCTGGGAGAAACTCCCATCTCTTTTCAAATCATGCCACAAGATCTTTAAAGGCCACCTGAACAGGCAGATAGGACCTCAGTTCAACATCTCAGCTGTAGGATGCTACCTCCAACATTCCAGCACACGCCAAATACTGTATTGCAGTGTCAGCCCAGACTTTGTAAGTTCAAATGTGGAGCTTGAATCCACAACCTTCTGACTCAGAGGTGACAGTGCTACTGACTGAGCCAGACTAACATGCAACTATTGTAAAATCTAACAGGGTTTCCAATGTGATGGTGATTTGCATTCTTAACACTAGCTGGTAAATAAAGAAATGTCAGAATTGAGTCAACGTCTGTGATGATTTGATAATCCGGTTCACGCGCCAGATGGGTCTGAGGTACTCTAGTTCCTTGTTAATTAAAGACCAGCTACCCTGGCTCATTGGCAGCATGACACTAGGAACAGGGATTTTTCACACTTGGCTCTTGTTAATCCTGCAAACCAAAGCCTAAACGGGAAGGGTTCTCCAAGCTGGACAAGAATTTGTCAGACAGTACTCTTAATGGCAAGCTCTGCATTTTTAACTGATTAGACTCTAGCAGTACTGCACTGCCCACTCTGGAGTCCCCAAGCCTTGGCTCTTGCCAACCTGTGCCTAATTTTCTTCAGGAGTAGGATACATGGAAATTAGCATGTGTCGGAGACAAACACATATGGAACTCTGTTTGGGTTCGATGCTCTTAAGTAGGGAAATGGGTTTCCATAAGTTTCAGGCACCCGGCTGAACCAAAAAATTAGTAAACACCACATAAGCTTGCTACTGCAAACATTTCACAGTTTCCAAGGCAGCTTTGTTAAATAATTGATCCCGAACCTGATAGTTCATTCCTCATATACTCCGCCTGTTTGGCTTGCAGGCTTTTGTAAAGGACAACATGATGAAATCCTTATCAATCAATCGTTCCATTATGATGGATACTTGCTTGAGGAAAATAAATCAAACATTAGGACAATCTTGTCTTTCACAAGCACAGACCTGGGCCATTATTAAATCAAGGATATCATCATACCAGGCAGGCTATAATAATGGCTACAAATGACCATTGTGCTATCTTTAATCAGATATGAACATTATGCTATAAATCACACAGAGTTTGCTTATTTTTGGTTACCTGAAACCTTTGGGCAGGAAATGAGCCAACTGTAGAGGAAATATTCAGCAGTTTTATGCTGTTGCAGAACAAAATGATAAAACATTTAATTTTACAATCAGACCTAACGTTAGTTTTATATGAGGTCGAATTCTCAAAGATTCAATTTTAGGAATTGAGCAAAAGTTGTCAGAATATGTGAAATTACCCAGTTTGCTTTTCTCTCCCATTCCCTCCTTCCAATCTTTTCTCCTGAAGATCCTGATTAAAACTGATCTATAGATCCACATGAACTGTCTACTTCCACCATCTCTGTCTCAAGGGAATGCACAAATCCATTTAACTTCTTAACAAGGCTAAAAGCCTCACTTTTTAACCAATATAATGTGAATCTATCATATGTCTTAATAATAATAATCCTTGCATTTGATATAGTGCTTTTCACGTGTTCTAGACGTCCCAAAGTGCTTCACAGAATATACTGTAAAGAGAAT